AAAAATTTATACTTTTTTTTTGAGGACTGCAAATTTTAAGAATAATTTAAGTTTTTCTGAAGTTCTTGGTCAGATATTTATTTTTTCGTGTTTGCGTTCAATTGTTGGGAAATTACGGTGACATACTCTTTTAGTGTTGTAACATCATTGCTGATTTGGACACTCTTCAGTTTCCTGATAACTGTGACTAGTACATAAATACATTATGCTCAGCAGTTAAGAATTTTCATATCACATTGTGAATGTTGCTGCCACAGTAGTGCAATCATGAACTGAAGTAGCCATTAACACTGAATGGATGGATTATAATCTAATTTGAGCTGAAAACAGTGCTCTCAACTACAAGTGATGACCTTCACTGCTAAATGCATTATATTTGCTGTTCATTTTGAGCCTTTATTGTCTAAGATTCATAACTAACTATAAATTAAACATTAATTTAAGAGTAATTAATTTATATTTCTGTGCAATATGTGAAGACAGAATTATTATCAATATCAAAAATGACTTTTACATAAATTCATGTTTTTTTCTATGCAGATCTGAAGACATTGATGGAGATGACCAACAACTCTTTCGATCAAATTAATACAACTGCTGCACCTGATAAAAATGACTCTGTGTATGGTGACAAGTATGATGGGCTGAAACAGTCTCTCAACACAATGTCTGTAATCCTTTATTCCGTGGCCTTTGTCCTCGGTGTGCTCGGGAATGGAGTGGTTATCTGGGTGACCGGGTTCAAGATGAAGAAAACTGTTAACACAGTTTGGTACCTCAACCTTGCTGTGGCTGACTTCCTCTTCACTGCATTTCTTCCCCTGAGTGTGACTTACACAGCTTTGGATTTCCACTGGCCTTTTGGCAAGTTCATGTGCAAGCTGAACACCACCATCAGCTTTCTGAACATGTTTGCCAGTGTCTACATTCTGGTGGTGATCAGTGTGGACAGATGTGTGTCTGTGGTGTGGCCTATCTGGGCTCAGAACCACCGAAATGTACGCAAAGCATCCTATGTGAGTCTGTGTGTTTGGGTGGTTGCTTTGATTCTCAGTGCTCCATATTTCATCTTCAGGGACACTGAGAAAATGTCTGAAAACCAAATCCTCTGTTTCAGCAACTATGCTCTTTCTGATAACTATACAGCACCATCTGTGATTCAGTTTCGTCATCTAGCCATGACTATCACTCGTCTCTTCCTGGGATTTGCAGTTCCCTTCACTGTCATTGTGTCCTGTTATGCTGTCCTAATCCATCATCTGAGGAGAAACCGCACCATGGCCAGCCAATCAACACGCACATTTAAAATTGTCACTGCTCTTATTGTCACTTTTTTCCTGTGTTGGGCTCCCTTTTACATAATTGGTGTAATTGAACTAGTGAAATTCACGTCTGCTACTCAGAGCAACACATTAGATCTTGTCATAGGTGTCGGGATGCCTCTGGCCACCAGTCTGGCCTTTCTCAACAGCTGCTTCAATCCACTGCTGTATGTGTTCATGGGCCATGATTTTAAGGACAAAGTCCGCAAATCCATCCGAAATGTTTTGGAGACTGTCTTCCAGGAAGAGGAGACACGCACTCGCACTTACACAGGGTCAGTGGTCACCAGTCAAAACAAAAATAGCTCAGATTTGAATACTGAGGTATAAGAAACCAAATAATTAAACTGTAAATGGCAGACAATTGTGACAACTATCTTAAAAATGATTCTAAATGTTTCAAAAATATCTTAAAATGCTTTGGGGCTTTTTTACTAGCCATAGCATTAATCTGATACATGACTGCATGAATCTATGAATCACAGCAGTCCATTCAGGTTACTTTTTTATAGAACTAAAAGCAGTTATACAATGTTATTGCTTCCATTATTGTTGCCTTTTTTCTGGGCTGGACTCCCTATCATTCAGCTGATAGTATTTATTCCACCAAATGAAAAAATTCACTATGCCATTCAATTGGGATCTTTGTTGCCAAAAATTTGGTCGTTCTTCACTGCTGCTTGAATCCACTGCTGTAGGTCTTCTTGAGACAAGATTTTAAGGCTGAAATACGAAAATCCATCCTGAATGTGCTGGAGAGCCTTCCAGGAAGAGGAGACACACTCTCCCAGTGACATGAAGTCAGTGAACACCAGGCAGAGCAGAGAGAAGTCAGATTAGATTACTGAGGTATAAGGCTGTATATGAGGTACATAAACATGTTAAAACCTTTAATAGAAAATTTCTTTGAGACTTTTTACTAGCTGTAAACATGACTCCAGAGTAAATCTTTATAAATCTTTATAAACCTTTAATGAATGAAATTTTGTTTAATTTTGTTCCAATAAACAAAATTTCAAATAAACCCTGCTCATAAAATTATGGAAACAGCTAATGGTACAAATGGTACTGTGATGTATTATTTCTGTGCTGTGTTGTTTTTCTTGCCTCTTTGGCTCACAGCTCTGCATTAACTTTGTGCTATTATTATTATTTTTATTACTTTTATTTATTTTATTTTTTTTTTTGCTTTAACTAACTCATGAAGTCTGCCATTCATTTCCATGTATTAATAATCCGTGTTATGTTTTATGTTAATATAGGAGCTGACCACCATTGAGTTTTCATGTAAACATTTACATTTTATATTAAATATTTGACATTCCTACAGTTCCATTAGTAACATATATGTCTATATCAGACAATCTCACTGATAGTTTCTCTCTTTTAAAGTTTTTTAACCCCAGGGACGTCAATAAATAGTGACAGTAGTGATCCTCATTTATTCACTTGTCCTGTTTTTTTTGTAAGTCAACTCTGATACGTGTATCATTAGTATTAACTGAACACATCAAATATTGGATAATTATATTTTTAAAAATAAATAATATAGTGTTATCTCGCTGAACAAAAAGTATTATATTTACTTACATACATTTTATTTTATTTATTTGGTGGTGTGAAAAACAGTATGGGCCATTATCACAAGAGGTTATTGTCTTAGTTTGTTAAAGTTCTCTATTCCCATTCTGGTCAGATTTGGTTTCATCGTTTGTTTACAGTACAGTTACAGAGCCAAGTGGCAACAAATCAAAAGACTGCTGCCTGTCAGTGGCCAAGAGCAGCCTGTATTCAGTTTGAATACTGTTATGAATTGAAACAGAACAGTTTCTAACTTTATTAGTTTGTAAATAGTGTTTCACTGTTCTATTTAACTTTTGGTGACAGTAGAAAGACTGAAGCAGGGGATCGTGTGGGAGAGAAAGGGAGAAAGCTGGATGAAGATGGCAAAGAGAGAGAGTGCAACAGAAATAAGTAAAAGCAGACATGTAGTCAAAGTCAGCAAAAAATTTAAAAGCCATGATCGCTTCCATCTAGTTCATATTCATTGATGATGATGTCACATAACTGTATTCTAGGCAGTGTGTTACACTGATATCTAATGCTCAGCTGCAGGGGAAGAGTGGGGCAGTGGGTTGTCAGGGGAAGCTGGTAGACACAGCATATGACAATTGTCTAATCATGCCCCACCACCCACCCCCAGCACAAGAGAAATAATGGTGCAGCTGAGCTGAGTAACAGAGCAAGCTGAGCAGTAAAGTAAACATGAATATTGCAGTCTGACAGCACACTGTAAATAAAACAATTGAACTAATCACAAATCTGTGAGTGTGTGTATTGTACTAGGCCCCCTTCTAAGAAGTGTTAAAGTATACTTTAACACTTCTTAGTGTTTTTTAATTTTTAAGCTAAAAATAAAATAAATAAAAATTCAAAATGTAATACTGAGAAAACTGTGGTGGAATATGACTTGAAAATATATTGAATTAAATGGGGTTTTATACTTTAACATTGAAAGACAGCAAGAAAGAACAAAGTTTTGCTTTTGATCAGATCTGCTGTGGATTATTATAAATTTTCCTATAATATGTGTAGAGATGCATACACATAACAGCATTCAGTTGAAATATGAGCACTTTAAATATAAAGTAGCATACATACCTTGAAAAACTAAATTTTAGTTTTTAAACTCATCTTGATTTTGTAGAGAAGGTGATCAGGCTGTTTCTTCATCACCTGAGACCAGCTACACTGGATCATCACCAGCTTGTATCTTTATCCCTTTTTCACTCAGTGAAGTCTTTCTCTTTTCATGTGCACTGGTAACCAAAGCGTGTGATATTTGAAATAACCTGCTCGCCTTCTCGCACACCCCATACTAGTAAGGCAAACTCACATACAGGCTCAGGGGGACGGGGTGAATCTATATACAAAGATGAGATATTAACACTAAGAACACAAAGGAATACTCTAAATAATACAAGCTAGGCTATATTAAGTAATGTAATGTATGGCACCATGCAGACATGTGGAGAGCATGCAAACTATACACAGCAAGGTCTTTTATTACCAGTCGCATTGATTACTGTAATGCCCTGCTCTCTGGTCTTCCTAAGAAG